TTGCCGGAACAGGAAAAAAAAAAAAAAAAAAAAAAAAAAAAAAACGTGGAAGTGGCTGTGGTCCTGAGAGGTATGTTCATAAAGGTGCCCCCCCATAAGCCTTTCACCCCCACTTGCTCACCACTTCAGCAGGCAGCCTGGGTTACTGCTCTCTACTTATATGCACAGAATAATAGCCTCCCCTCTGCTCACAGGGTAGTTTATTTTCACCTCTGTCCTAGAATTCATTTACCATATTGTAATGTGTATTTTTGTTAGTTTTCACAGTTCTGTCTCCATTGATTATAAGATCCTTGGGGACAGTAAAAATTCCTCTTGTCTGTGTAACTAGAGGTGGCTACTTGGCAGGGCACTAGAGTATTCAATAAACATGAGTTAATTAAAAAGGAAAGCATTAAGTTGTCAGGTAGGTGGAGAGGCTAGAAAAAAATGTTTCATAAAGCATAAGTTAATTAAATTTGAAACACTAACTTATGTAGGGGTTGTTAAAAACATTTTTTGAGTATGTCACAGTCGTAGAGTATTACTGTACCTAGATATTACTTAGAGATCATTTTTTTCAATGCTCTCTTTTTTTTTAAATGATCAAATCATTCCTTATGATGAAAACTAGAAGTTCTAGAAGAAATTCATGGAAGTACCAAAGAAAATATCATTTCAACTACATATTTGTGTGTCAAATAAGAGTTGTTCTTAGAACAACTTCTATTGAAGAAGCTTTTTATTCCCAAATTACAGATCAGGAAACTGAGAACTTAAAAGGATACGTTGCTTGCCATTAATGAGGCTCAACCTGTTCTACTATTGATATGATCATGATAAATACTTGATATTCTAGAGAAGCACAGTTTAAACTTACAGCTTTTTCTTGATGTTTAATTCTTGCCACAAAATGACTGTCCAAAAACCAAATATAAGGTCGATTTTCTCTATTTATGCCGAGTTCTACATTCTCAGATACTTTTTCAGCAAACATTTAATTACTTCCTGCTACCTTCTGCTAAAAGATAGCTCTTGCCAAGACTCTTTTTTTGTTTTTTAGTTTTCCTTAAAATACCTTTTTAAAAATTTGCATTTTCTTTATCTAGGCATAGTTGTTTTCATTATGCACCCTTTGGTTTTCCAGCAGAAGTTAGAAATTCTGTAACCATCATATTAGTTGATCTCATGAGAGATAATGAGGAAACCGCCTCCATAGTTAGGAACGTAGTTATGTTCTAGAGTGGAGCACCTCAGTGACTGCAAAGTCTGATGAACCTGCCTGTTCAGTCCAACGTCGGCCCCAAGAGGACAGAAGTGAAGTCTGACCTCACGAGTGACTTGCAGCAAGTCAGACCCTAGTTACACCATCCTTTGCCGTCATTATGATAGTTATCTAAAAGCCATTAATTTATATCAGAATATCACCTCCTTACTCTTACGTTTAAGGAACAAAAACACTGAAATGGACATTGAAGTCTGAGTTTTTTATTTTGAGGTGTAGATTAATAGTTCTCTTACTGAACGTTTTGGATCTGAAAATGTCACAATAGGGTCCACGTCATTCTTGTCACCTACTTTTAGGCGTTTCGAGGATTTGTCTTTTACCTTTCATTTAAGCAATCCTACTCATTTAGTCTCCTTATGAAACGTGCAGGAGGTGGAGAACCTGTTTGTAATCCTAGCGGCCGTGCTGCACCTTGGAGACGTTCGCTTCACTGCTCTGGCCGGTGCCGACTCCGCGCTGGTTTCTGACCTGCAGCTTCTGGAGCAAGGTCGGTGGAGCTCGACCTTCTGACGTTCACCTCGGGGATGTGCAGTTTTGTGGACCTGCCGGTAGATGGAGACACAGTACCGGAGAGCCAGTGGGAGTAAACCCTTTGCTCTAGAGCAGGATTCAATGAGGGCAAAAAAAACATCCACTTTGTTTCTCCTTATAAATGGTTATAGGAATGAATAACAAGATGTACTTTGGTGTTCCCATTCTGTGCACTATAACAGCATTAATTCTTCAGCACATTCTTGGGTTTGTTTATGCTGTTCTAACTGTTCTCCACCCCCACCCCCGCCACCCCGTGTATTTTGGGGCCATGTTATTAGCTAAACATTGAAACTGAATATAATGACTTCCCTTCAGAGATGTTGCCACAAATCTCTCTTTTCTGAAGTTGCCTCGTTAGTCATTCCCAGATTTTTTCAAAACACCTAAAAACCACAGATTGTCCACGAACAGCTTGTCTTCACCTATGTCAAAGTGATTTAACCAGGAATTTGAAGGAAATAATTCAGTGTCATCTGTGAGGACAGGAGAAAAAAACCTGTTGTGATTTAATGCACAGAGCCACAAGAACGCACTGTTGTTCTGGTTACTCGAAGACATTCCTCTAGTTGAACTGGACAGTCACCGGGCCACTGACTTTTCTTTAATACACACATTTTCTAATATGTCTATATAAAACTTATGACTATAAAATACAAAGTCATCTGTCTCAAAAAATGTATACTAAATTTATGTTTATGATGCTGCTTTAATTCTAGTGGCTGGAATGTTACAAGTATCTACGGATGAATTGGCCTCTGCCTTAACAACTGATATTCAATATTTTAAAGGTAAAATTTTCTGTACTCTAACTTGCATCTTAGTGCAATTTGTGGTCTTATTTCATATATGGAAGTTAAGGACAACTTTGACTGTCCCTGCTCGTGAAACTGTTTCTATGAGTTGAATGGCAAATGAGAAAAGCATTATGAAACGTTTGGTCACTGGGATGCCTCTATATTGTAAACTCTGTGCTCTCAAGAGACCGTTTTATTTAACCGATCACCTTTCTAGCTAATCTGTCATTTTAGAAAACAAAGCCATCAATCCAAAATGATGTGTTCCAGCAGTGTTGGACTCGTTTGTGTGTGTGGAGCCCTCTTGCCCTCGCCAATGAAGAACTAACCTTTTCCCTGTACCTCATTAGTCATAATAATAGCCGTCATTTATTGGGCATATATGAACGGATGGGCATTGTGCCAAGTGCTATAAACGTAATTTGTGAATTCACACACATTGCTGCAAAGTGGGCATAACTATTTCCATTTTAGCAGATGAGAAAACCAAGATTCAAAGAGGTTAAATGGCTTTGTACGTCAGATCGTTAGTGAATGGCATGTTTGGCATTAGAATTGGACGCTGTCTGACTCCAGGTGACATGCCTCATTTCTGTGCTGGATGCGTCTCTGCTCAGTCGGTGAGGAGAGTCGCTGCCCACGTGTTCTCGATCATTCACTATAACTCATGGCCTTCCTCTTGATTGGAATCGTGAGGGCTCACCGTCTAGCTGATCGTTTTTCTCTAAGTCACTACTATTCTTCCTGCTGTCCCTACTGGACCTATTTGCAGGTGTTCAGGTATGTGATTTAGGATTTCTTCCTCATCCAAACTTAATGAATGGCCCCGTTTTCCACCCAATTGCCCCAAAGTCATTCTCAATACCTCTTTCTCTTCCTCCTCCTCCATTGCATAGGTCAGACGTGCCAGTTCGACCCCATAAGTCTCAGTCATTCTTTCTGCCTTCTCTTCATTTCTATCGACACTGCCTTAATTGATCGCTCCTTCCCTGGGTGACGGCAAGAGCCTCCTGGTTAATCTTTTATCTGGCCTTATTTCATTTTGCCTCCTTCCACGCTGCTTCAAAAATAATCTTTCTGAAATGCAAATAGGATTTTCATCGTAGGTAACAATCTTTCAAAGATACTCCAGCTCATTCAGAGGAAAGCACATCCCTTCAAATGGCCTAGGAGGCCCCTTTATTACCTGGGCCACATCGAACTTTAATGGTTCATCCTTCTGCACCAGCACTGTGCTTCCAGCCATACCAAGCACCTTGAAGTTCTCCAAATACATTATTCTTTTCTATGCCTCTTTTTTTTGTTTTTAGAAAAAATCAAACTCAACCCTGGTACCTATAATTTAATACGTGCAGGTCCCTCTACTGACACTGCCCTTCCCCTCCCGCACCTCATGTTGGTGACTCATCAGAACCCCTCAGTCGTCCTGGCTCCAGGGACCTCAATTCTACAATAGCATAAGTGGCCACACCTGCTTCCACTACCACCTTCCATTGGGATGGGTCGTTCCCAACAAAACTCAGCAGCAGTTTTCCTCCCTTAACTGTACCTCCAACAGACTGACAGTCCACGCAACTCATTTCGCACGGCCATCGTCCTGTTACTAACTCCCTGCTCATACCCTGGTTACCACTATGGCCACAGAATGTGAGTTCTAGATCCTGTTCACTCTCCATGCCCCAGCAAGAGTGCTGTGACAGGTTCCGCTCCAAAGCATCCTTACTCTTTCCTTTTTTTTTTTCTTGGTCCCTCCTTTAGTCTATTTTCTTCTGAAAATATTACCACTCAAGATTTCAATCTCTATCTCTTTGAGAATGACATAGAAATTTCTACCATAAAGCCCAATCTTGTTCCCAAACTCAAGTTCCACATTTTGGTTGATTAAACCACATCTTTGAAAATATTTAAAATATGACTAATTTCCAGGTGGCCAGGTTTCCAAATACCTTGGGATGATTCAATATCCAAACCAGTGAGTTGTAATCAGAAAACTTGCTAAGAGGGGCCCTGCGAAGAGCTGGTTCCCTAACTAAGAGGAGGTTACACAGTTTAGTGAGGGGTAAAAGCTGTCGTCAACATATTGTAACAACTAAGATTGCAATGGATATGAAACATTTTACATAACAACCAACAAGACATTCTCATGTATTAGTGTCCTAGTATAATTTTTTAGCATCCTTTGATATATGCAGGTATGTGGAGAATAAATAGGATGTGTGGGAAACCCTTGTTCCTATGCCTTCTCTTCTGTTGTTTTAGGAGATACGATAATACGACGGCATACTATACAGATTGCTGAATTTTACCGGGATCTCTTGGCCAAGTCCCTGTACAGTCGTCTGTTTAGCTTTTTGGTGAATACCATGAACTGCTGCCTCCACAGTCAAGAGGAACACAGAAGGTAGGAGTTGATGGACACTGACTGTTATTCCTGTTACAGACAACTGAAAGGCTCAACTTTTAAAGACGCTTCATATTCCAGCATGACCCATAAGTTAAACTTCATGAACACATCTCATTTTAACAAGTTGATTAAAGTTGAAGGGTTTTATTGATTATTCCTTAGGGATTTAAGCCACCTTCCTCAGCCAACCACCCCTCACATCTTTGAATTAATCAAATCACTTCTTATGCATACATATGCAAATACATCATCTCTGGACTAAAGGTTTATATGGCCTTTTGTGCATCACAAAGTATAAAAATTTTATAAATCTAGGAAGACAGTCTAAGCATATGTAAAGCTCTTGGGTTTGTTGAGTAGCCAAGCCTCCTTAAGAACTGACTTGGTGACATGTTCCAGATCAGGAATCCTTTCTCTTGTTTCTGCACTTATTTCGTGGATTATTTGACAAATGGTCTCTGTGGTAATCATTTGGGCTCATGCCTTTAATCTTCTTTAAACAGTAGCTTTTCAGAGCTATTTGATCATCTAAAAATTATAGATCTCCATGACATCTTGTCAATGAAAAACTTTGTTATTATTCTTGTCACTGATAATGACTTTGGGCAGAGCATTGAAAGCAAAATCACGTACAGAAGTCTTCACATGTATGCTCGTCTTTGAATGAAAGCTTCTGAGAATTTCTTTCTTGTCCATATAGACTTCTTCAAGAAATTCCTGGAAATTGCTGTCTTTAGAGGTTTTTTGTAAAACATTAGAACTAGCACTATTAATGGGAAAGTTCTTAAATAAATATAGACATCTCAGAAGAACTCAAGGACAAAAGGATACTACAGTTCTTATTCAAATGTACATGTATATAAAATCCCACTGAACATTGACCAGAATATTTAATATATATTCCGTGATTTGAGGGTAGCTACAGTACAATCTATATTTCAACAGAAATACCGTAGTGTTTGGTATGGTGAGGACTACTGATTTTCCTATTATTTCTTGTTATCAGTTAATTTGTGATTTTCCTGTAATATGAAGATTATTCACAGAATGATTCAAATATTCTAAATCTACCAAATTAAGCATGTATAAAATTGACAGTTCTGCTGAAGTTGACATTGAAAAAATTAATGTATAAATCCAGCTCCACATAGAAACTTTTAGGAAAATTCCATTTGTCATTTAAGTCTTACAAAGTCTTAGATTTGTATAATTGGAAATACTTATATATGGTTTAGATTCTGAAAAAATTAATGTATAAATCCAGCTCCACATAGAAACTTTTAGGAAAATTCCATTTGACATTTAAGTCTTACAAAGTCTTAGATTTGTATAATTGGAAATACTTATATATGGTTTAGATTTTTGACTTCAACACACATACACGTACAAAAACTACAAATAAACTGTGAAAACACATTATTTCCTTTTCAGTGGTAATATTGCCACTGTGTCAATATGTAAATTTATAATGGTGGTCTTATCTATTAAAATTCTTTACTAAGCAAATGAATGAAGACAGGGATTAGTGGGAAATTAGAAGTGAATTGGTGTATTATACATTTAACTTCTAAGAAACAGTATTCTCATTTGAGTTATAACTCCCATTTTTTTCCTCTCTATTTCTCCTAAACCTGAATTTAAATCCCCAAATAATTAAAAGAAAGGTTATATTTGCAGCATTTCTAACTCATTGAAATTCATGGAAAGCTTAAGGTTTTGCAGATTTTCACACCCGTTTCCTAAGGCACAGAAAGGTCTCAAAAATTTGGATAGCCTTAGCATAGGCTTTTGTTGTTTACCAATGCCCAATTTTTTTAAAAAATTGTAATCAAGTCAGAAAAGATTTTAAATTACATATGTACGTATGTATGTATGTATGTATCTGTGGTTAAAGTTGGCAAGCACATTGATGTTCATGGGATAGACATATTTTCGACACTATTTTTATTTTTTTTGGTAAATTTTGTGTTTGTCTGGCCAAAATCGAGTCTTTAATGTGGGGCACCTGCTGGGCTGTGCCTGCTGTGGTCCTGACTCCTGTGCATCCATCTGTCCCGGACGCTGCAGTGTGTGACCACTGGGACTGAGCAGCTTTCACTCGAGGGCCACACTTCATGGTCAGGGCAAGGCGAAAGTGGGAACACACTAACCCCTGATTTGTTAGGCTTGTCAGGTGAAAAGGAATCATAGTAACAACAACGCCAACAACAGTAATGTAATACCTTATTCTCTTCATGCAAGCAAACCCCAGGACTATGGATAAGCATCTCCACCTAACAAATGTGAGTGTTAATTCACAGTCCATAGACTTGAAACTGCAGGCCCATCTAATGCAAGAAGGTATATGGACTTTGGGACTCCTGTTTTGAGCGATTTTAGCCTTTTTTCCTAGTGTTTTCCAAGCATAGAGCTGAACCTGTCTGGCCACTGGATATATGGAAGACCCTTGTGGTTTGTTCATAACCTGCCCTCAGTTCACATTGCACTGATAATATTTAACAAATAAAATATTATTTTAAATTATATCAAATCAATTGGTTTGGCCTCAACAACTCTGCGAATCACCAGCTGACACCCAATGGCCACTGTAGGTATAAACAACATCCTCGATTAAACCATTTGGAAATCCTTTGTATGGGTTCCTATCACTTCTCGTGTAGAAAATTGGCCAACGCTGATGGGCATCAGAGGCATGGACCTTCTGTCCCATTCTCCTGGCTGGTCTGTTTTTCCCCAGTGAATCCAAAGTTGTGCTGTCTCTTCCCACAGATGCAGACATCCTTCCCAAGAAGCGGCTATCTTCCCTTGGGTGTTTGATTAATTTGACTCAGGGCAAAGTCGTGCTCTTCTAGTTCATTTTTAGGAATCTTTGTGGTGATTGCCAGGGTGTCTTCTACACTGAGCTGGCATACCTAGGAGGTACAGGTGTCACACGGCTCTCCAGAGGAGCACCATCCCTACCTGCCTCTTCATGCAAGCAAACCCCAGGACTATGGATAAGCATCTCCACCTAACAAATGTAAGTGTTAATTCACAGTCCATAGACTTGAAACTGCAGGCCCATCTAATGCAAGAAGGTATATGGACTTTGGGACTCCTGTTTTGAGTGATTTTAGCCTTTTTTCCTAGTGTTTTCCAAGCATAGAGCTGAACCTGTCTGGCCACTGGATATATGGAAGACCCTTGTGGTTTGTTCATAACCTGCCCTCAGTTCACATTGCACTGATAATATTTAACAAATAAAATATTATTTTAAATTATATCAAATCAATTGGTTTGGCCTCAACAACTCTGCGAATCACCAACTGACACCCAATGGCCACTGTAGGTATAAACAACATCCTTGATTAAACCATTTGGAAATCCTTTGTATGGGTTCCTATCACTTCTCGTGTAGAAAATTGGCCAACACTGATGGGCATCAAAGGCACGGACCTTCTTTCCCATTCTCCTGGCTGGTCTGTTTTTCCCCAGTGAATCCAAAGTCGTGCTGTCTCTTCCCACAGATGCAGACATCCTTCCCAAGAAGCGGCTATCTTCCCTTGGGTGTTTGATTAATTTGACTCAGGGCAAAGTCGTGCTCTTCTAGTTCATTTTTAGGAATCTTTGTGGTGATTGCCAGGGTGTCTTCTACACTGAGCTGGCATACCTAGGAGGTACAGGTGTCACACGGCTCTCCAGAGGAGCACCATCCCTACCTGCCCTGCTGTAGCAGTCATAACACAGGGGACTGCAGATGGTCAACTCCTTTGCTACCCTGTCTCTGCATAGGTTTCCTTGCAGGGTTTAAGCACCATACTTTAGAGCTCCCACCTCACTCATATGTGCAATCTTTAAAAAAATGGTTCTCATAGAAGTGGTGCATAGAATAATGGCGACCAGAGGCTGCGGGGGGGGATGAGGGCGGTGGCAGGAGACGTGCTGGACTGACACATACGACATTGTGCTGTCTACCCTAACTGAATCATTGTGCAGTGTGTGCATGTATTAAACAACACATTGCACTGCACAAATATGTACAAGTGAAGGTTAAAATAAAATAACCAGAGGTAGGAAAAGAGGAGGGAGGTTTAGCGAGAAATCGGTAAAGGGCCACAAGAGTGACTTATGTCCTGGGCCAGGGAACTCAGGGCTGTCTTTTCCTGGTCTCTGGGGGAGGACTTCAAGCATGCATCAACCACTTCAGGACTTCCTGGGAACCAGTGGGCAGGTCTGTCTAATTTAGGGTGCAGTGGTCAGAAGCCACTTGCTTGTAGCATCAGCTGTGCTCATTCAAGAAACAGGTAAAGTCCCCACATCTTCCCAAGTGTTCTCTTGGATGGGATTTCTCTGGGTCAAGGGGAGAGAGGAGATTGGGAATGGGATAGTGCCTGGAGAAGTGGAAGACATTTCAATTGCTCAGTTTTTGTAACTATTAAAAAAAGATAAGTACTAAAGTGTAATGAGTAATAACTGAGACTTAAAAAAATGATAAAAACTTTTTTGCAACTCTAAAATTGGACCTGTTTTCTAATGCAACACTTCATTCATGTCTACATGACCTGAAATCCAAGTTTTTGGACAGCACAATTTGGCATGCAAATATAATATAGTAAATAAACTTGAGTTTCAAACATGCATAGTGATAGAGTTTGGATGTGTTGTCCCCCCAAACTCAGGTGGAAATCTGATCCCCAATGTGGCAGTGTTGGGAGCTGTTTGAATCACAGGGGCAGATCCCTCATGAATGGATAAATGCTCTTCCTGGGAGGTGGGGATAGTGACTGAGTTCTTGCTCTGTTAGCTCCAGCGAGAGCTGGTTGTTTTAACAGACCCTGGCACCTCCTCTCTCTTGCTTCCTCTTGCCCTGTGGTCTGCTTGGACCCATCTACCATGAGTAGAAGCAGCCTGAGGCCCGTGCCAGATGCAGCTGTCCCAGAATCGTGAGCCAAATAAACCTCTGTTCTTTATAAATTACCCAGTCCAGGTACTCTATTATAGCAGCACAGAACGGACTA